GCATGAGATGAGAATGACACATTGACAAAGGTCAAAATATTGACAATACAGAGTATATGAATATTATCATGTAGTGAGCAGTGGTAGACCCAATCACATGAAAGGTTTTGTATTCGAGTCCTATTATTTGTGTAGTCACTGGTAGACCCAGGATGGATTTTTTTTAGCAGAGGTGCAATTTTGGCAAGGATTTAAAAAAACAACAAGAAGCGTGATGCGCAGCATAGCACAGTGCAACAACAGACTGACTTCGTTTAGGCTTTTCATCGAACACCTAGAGTGCACCTCTTAGATTGAGCAGAGGTGCAATATGCATCACCTATAATGGCTTTTTCGACAAGGGGAGGCACCTTAATAGGTCCGCCACTGCGTATAGTGTGTGTGAGTTTAGTATGTTATCTCTCATCTCAATAGGAAAGGTTCTAAAAAAAAAAGTAAACATGAGCGATACCATATTATGAGACCTCATTAATCAGACTACTTGCAAGCCAAATAGTGAATTAATGTCCATAACTACAATTAAAATGTTAATTATGATAGAAAATTGTTAGTTAGGTTGGTTGAAGAAGGTAGTTAGCTTAGGTAGTTTGGATATATGATGATGAATATGGTGACCTAGGTTTGTAGGACAGCTTGTCCCATAACTCTAATTAAAAGACAATTTCATTTATTAATTGGTATTCGAAGCATAAATACGTACCCACGCTCTGCAGGCCATGGAAGAGAGAGAGAGAGAGAGAAACCAAAAAACAAAGGAAATCAAATATTGATGCTCCGGACGTGGTCATTTTCTGTCACATTGCTAACTCCCCCCATCAACTACCTACAACTGCATCCCGACAATCAAAACCAACTGCGCCTCAGCTTTGCCTTTGACATCAAAATATGTATGTATATTTTCCTCTTATTGCCTTCATTAATACATCGTAGAAGAAACGAAGCATGATGTTTGTCCAAATCAAAATATACATGTATCAACTTTCATGGGCACGCAATTTGTAGGGTAGGCGCACCACAACTATAATGGACCACCAAAATTTGTCTCGAGCTCCAATTTGTGCAAAATTCATATATAGTGATATCCATGATAATTTATACAGATATGGTTATTATGCCTGCCCCAAATGCATGCACAGGGATGGGGGTAGGGCTAGCTAACTTTTCCTCCTTTGTCATCTGGTGGTAATTATTCAGAGCTCCAACTTTGCCTTTTCTTGCAGCTACAACAGTGCTGGTTCGAACTGCTTGTTGTCGTATCTAGTTTTTGTTCTAGTGTAGGTCATAATTAATTCCTCACTAAAGCTAGCGAGAAATGTGGAATTACATTAAGAAAAGAAGGAAAATTGGAATTCCAAATGCTAACATGTTTTGTTGGTGGGAGTAGTAGCTTGTAGGGTATTGATCTATTGGGTGAAGAATCAATTGCAGGAAAGAATGTAATGAGAACCATTCCCTTCCACCCTAGCTAGGGTTTGATATATTTCCCCCGTTCACTTAATGTCCACCAAGAATGTTGGTAAGTAGCTGTAGCCTGTGACATCTGCGCAAAAAACCATTATAGTTTGGTGCTTGTCAACAAAATTATACTAGACAAGCTAAAAAGAAACAAAACAAAATTATTCTAGGCGTGCGTTGCTGCAGTTTCCTAACCCTCCTCTAGTTGCTCATTGCCCTATTTTAGTACCCTATATGTCACGTCAAATGTATATATATAGTCTCCTAATCTTTGTTTGATTCTTAATCATGATTTTCATATTTTGTTTTGTTTCCTGCTGCATTTCATGTTATATGGACTTGGTGCTTGCTCGACTTTCTCTGCTTTCTGTGGATACCAAAATGTTCCAATTAAGAACAGATTACGAGTGTTGTGTTTCCTAACTATGAATTAATTGTTTTGTATCATATATCTCTTTGCTTTCAAATGATGATTGCATTCAACTTGTTTTTTCTAACTCGTATCGATTCACACTGTAACTTGATTTGTGTTAAATTTCAGAGAGACAGGGCAACGATCTACTACTAGCAACGCAAATATTGTCCCCAACTTAACCACCTACAAATATCAGTAAGTATAGGGTTTTATCACAAAATATACCTCGGTTATATTAGTTGCGTAACCATTCGGGACTTATCAACTATTTGTCATTTTTCTAGGCTCTAAAGTTGTCTATGTCTTGGTCACAAACAACCACTCAAAGTCAAAGAAAAATCCAACAATTGAAAATGAATCTTACGTATGTATATACATTGAAGGAGGCCAGAAGATGTTCTCATCACTCCGAGTGGATAAGCTAAATTTATTTAGTTATTGGTAATGATATCTCTAATCTATTGGGATTTATTTTTTTCCAATGAACCTAATCATGTTTAACATCATTCATCCAATAATTCAGGGGAAAAAAGTGAGATAAGTTCTTGACATCAAAGTGGATTGAAATCCAATTCCAATTGAGCTTCCCTTCTAAGATGGATCCATCTCTATGTCCTTTGGGAGAAGTACGTACATTGGATACCATGATTGGATCTGTGCAAATGGTCCCGCCTCGTAATCCGTGCTCCACTTCCATTCAAAGGAATAATTGTGTTGTGGTAGTCAAATTGAGTTCATTAGGAGCACCCATGTTTCATTTTATAATTATTTTTTCTTCCCAAAAAAGAACATGAGTAAGGAGCCTTGGTGCAAATCCAAATCATGTGGAAAATGGAAATATAGGGTTTTGGCACTTATTTGTGCTTGTTTGACGTAGTTGTTTTTCTGTTTGTCGTTTTGCTTGAGTGCTTGTGCTTTTCCAGCATTTGTAAGCAAGGACAACACAAAGCGGAGGCAGGGCCATGTAGATATCAAAAGTTCTGTGTTTGTAATGATGAACTTCTAATTTGGCAAACGTGGGAAGAGCAGTACCATTGAAGGAACTTGAGGTTCTAAACTTTGAAGTAAAACACGAGGCGTATTGGGTGATATAGGAGTACGTACGAGGTTCTAAACTTACACACCGTATTGGGTGATATAGGAGTACGTACGAGGTTCTAAACTTACACACCATATTGGGTGATATGAGAGTACGTATGAGGTTCTAAACTTTGAAGTACAACACGTGGCATATTGAGTGACACGAGAACACGCATGATCTTTGGGCTCAATACGTGAATAGTCTTACTTTGATATCATGAAAAAAGTTGAGATTTCAAAAAACCCAAACTTATTATAAACTCAAACTAAATCCCTTTCACTTTTAATACGAGACAAATAATCTCAACAACAACCATTCCAATACAAATTTCAAGAAACCACTGGTCCAGTGTTCAGTCGGCTTCAATTTTAAAATGAGAAAAAGAAAAGAAAAGAAAAAGTGTTTGTTTAGGTTGGGTGGATATTGGGTTTGGGCGGGATAAGGCTGGATTGGACCAGTCGGTCTCAGATGGTTTCTGAGAGATCCATGGGTTATTGTTTGAGGAGTCTACCTTCCATTGCAGTTCATCTGCTTGCTGGTGATCAAGCCCATTTGGGAGGCCTCTACTTAAACCCGTAGGAGTATCTTCGGAGAATCAGAGGATTTGAATAGAACAGAAAACAGCACAATTTTTAAAAAAATAATATATATTGCCTTCTAAGATTGATGGATGTCCCAGTTCATCTATATTATTATTACTTTTGGTTTCATTCCACTCAGAGTTTTTGAACCTTCAAACCAAGGATTAAACTTTTGTCAAAATACCAAGATCCCTTCAAGCTATCCAATCTTTTATTACTCGACTCTGATAAAGATGATAGAAAAGTATAAAACTGTGATTTCCATGTGTTTAAGTAACCAGATGGCTATTTAACACATGAAACTCATGGAAACGGCTGGAACTATTCCCGTCGAGTTATACAAAACAAATGGTCTTGTTGCTTCTTCGTTGTTTCCTCTATTGCCACACAAACGACTTTAAACATAGCAAAAATCGTCATTTCATTCGTCAGAGTATCATCAATGACAGATATGACTTAGGTATGGAGGGCACAGCTCCTGGTTTGGTTCCAACAGTCTTAAGCATTGGGAAAATCCTTGTTGCATTGGAAGAGAATAAGGAAAGGCTTCATAAAACCTTGAAACACACATCACTGTCTAATATCAAAAAGCATAGGAAAACCCTTGCTGCACCACACACAAGACTGAGGTAGAGAAGGCGAATACTTAAGATAACCTTTGAACCATACCCAACAGTCTAGAATCACGGCAAAGATTGCAAGATACATTTACCTGCGTTTCAATTATCGTCCGATTACAGATACCCAACTTTCATAGTTGTGAATGTGAGCTAGACCTAGACCCAAAGTTCAAACACAAAACCCGTTTCCCCAATTCGAAATTTCTTCTGCTCTCAATCATATCTACTAAAAAGAAAGCCTAAAGTTTGAGGATGAATTAACATCTCTCCGGCTATAGAAGGTTTGCTTTGAAGGTTACACAAAACCTTCCATCAGTCAAACCCCAAGTTGAGCTGCTCAACCATCCATTCATCTAAAAATTTGCTTCAATAAAGGGCTCGTTTGGGACTGATTCTGGACAAGCCAAAAAGCACTTCTCCATATAATCACTTTTAAGTGGTTTTAAGTGATTTTATGGAGAAGCACATGGGAGGTGCTTCTCCCCAGAATCACTTAAAATCACTTAAAGTGATTATATGGAGAAGTACGTGGGAGGTGCTTCTTCCCATAAGTGATTATGGCCTATCCATAATCACTCCCAAACCTATGGTTCTTTCTGCCATTTACCAACTAACTCTCTTAAACAATCCCACTTTGCTACATTAAAATGAGGCCAAAACATATGGACTAACTTTCAAAATCCTCAATGCTCTTGAAACAAAACTCTTTAGCTCAAAATATCACCAGTAAACCAATCAATCAAACCCTGTTTCTGTACCAAGTATTTGAGATCAATCATACAATTCATTCCAAGAAAACATATGCATTCGACAAAAGCGAACAAACACATTACAAGCTCCACATGAAATTCATTAGTAACAAACCAATATTTATTCCATAATAAAACACTGATTTAACATTAAACTCTTGTTTTACTTCAACCGAACATCCATAAGCGCCAAGCTTAGATCAAATTCCACATAGAATATATATACATATACACCGATAAACCGCAAATTAACATTGCGCCTTAGTCATTAAACCATACCTCAACCTCCGATTGAATCAATCAATCAATAATCGGCACGATAGTTGCTGTAATCGTCACGCTCACGCAAGTCATTCTCAACCCTCTCCGCAATCTTATCTTCTTCGTACCTCAATCCCTCATCCAATGCCAGTCCACCTATACCTCCTGCCACTGCGCCCACAGCCAATCCCGTGCCCAGTCCCATCTTCCCACTCTTGGGCTTCTGATCATAATTCGAGTAGTCCAGTGGTGCGGAAGGCCCACCAGGCCCACCCGGAGCACCCGGAGCACCCGGCGCAGCGTAACATGCTGGCCGGTCGAAGAACGGCCTCGGTGGAGGCGGAGGTGGCGCGCTGGAGTAGTACGCCGGATAGTAACTCGAGTACGGATCGGAATACGAGCTGTAATGGTACGGCGGCGGCGGCGGTGGGGAAGCCGATGGAGTCGGAGCCGAAGCTTGTAGAGAAGAGTACGGCGACGGCGAGTATGACCTGAAGTCACGAACAGGGGTTGGAGGCATAGGGGAGCCTGAGTAAAAATAGCTGGGCGGAGGGGTCATATGGTAATCTGGTGGCAGAGGTCGTTCTCGAACGGCGAGCTTTACGCGGATCTTACCCTGTGGACGGCCCGAGGGGCGGACGAGCTGGAAGGTGCGGATTCGGGTGGAGTCGTCCGGGTCGGGCAGGTCCTTGAGTGGGACCCGGAGGGTGCCGACTAAAGGCTTGGGAGTGTCGGAGGGTTTGGAGTGGAAGATTTCGAGGGTGAGGAAGGAGTCGTGGAGGGGGAGGGTGAGTGGGACGGTGAACCGCTCGTTCCAGACTGGGCGGGTTGAGCCGGAGTCGTCAGCTTTGGTGGCGAGTCGGCGGTCCGAGTCGACCCAGAAGACCGCGTAGGGCTTGAGGTCGCCGTTTTTCCAGTTGACGTTCTTTAGATGCTTGGCGGAGACGATCGTGAGGTCGAGATCGAGATGCTTGGGCGGTGGAGGGCGAGAGGTCGCCATCGGGGTTGGGGTCTCTGTGCTAACGTGCGCGGGTGGGGGTGCGAGGGGTGCGGAAGGTGCGTATGATAATGGACAAGGAGATACCGAATGGTTGTGTTGGGGGGAGAAGGTAATATTGGGCCGCATGTTAAATGACGATAATACCCTGCCTTTAGTAAATTACTGAAAAAGAAAGGGTAAGCTTTCCATGTCGGTTCAAATTCTTTGTGAAGGATAGTTTTACCTAATCACGGAGAGATTGACATATTTATATTTGGTTTGTGTTGTGTAAAGTCCTTGTAGGTTATGGATTGTGAAATTTCCCGTTGTAAATTGGTAATTCTTCAGAAGATTAGGAATCTAATTTGGGTAAAATAACATTCCTACTTTTCTTTTCGATTTGACCACACAAGAAGTGTTGATTTCGAGGATCGGACCTCTAAAACCCGATTGGATTAGGAAAGGTCCGATTTGAGTCATGGGATGTGGGCTTGTTGTGTATGGTGACTTGACTAGGCCCACCCAAATTTAATAAACCCAAGGATGTATGTGTGGATTTATTTTTTTGGCCAGAACAAACGATAGAATTATATATATATATATATATATATATATATATATATATATTTTATAACGGTCAATACACCTATAATAAAGCGATATCACAATTAGGTATTGAACTCATCACGAATTAATCTGAAACCTCTTTCAAATAAGAGAAGACAAATATCATTAGATCAAAGACAGGTTAGGTGTGTGGATTTTATATTGACTTTGTTTTTGCTGCAAAACAGACGCATTATGCTCAACATAAAAACTCTCTTTAGTGAAGGTTGTCTCTAACAACAATATCTTTGATTAAATATTGCTGCAAGCAACAATATCTTGAAAGTTCTTTGATGCAGTAATCTATATTTCATATTCTAACCTGTTATGAAGAAAATTGATTAATTAGCATAAGTACTTTTGCCACTTTACTTAAGATGAAACTGAAAACAATTACTAATATATAAATAAATTGCATCTCATCAAAGACGTCCTAAATTGTATTTAGAACAATCTAATTGTACCAAAAAAAAACTGGGTGAAGAAACAAACAAACAAAGAAACCAGGACCTGCTTGGTAGCAGTTAGGTCGTCTGTATATAGTCTAATGATCAGCGTTCCTTCACTTTCATAGACAAAATTATGTGGCCTTCAGCCTTGACCAGTCCAGCCCCTTCATTCCTCACGAGTCCAAACCGGCCTTCCTTTTGCTCATTCATCTTCCTTGGCAGAAGGATTCTAACCCTGCTCACGCTGGCTATGCCATTAGAGGTTCCTGGCTCGGAGTCGTTACTCCCCCTCAAGACCTCCACGTTCAGGTGCCCCCAACCCAAAAGGCTGGTCCTCAACGGAATTTCGCATTTTCCGTCCCATCTAGGGTCTGGTAAGGCACGAACAAAAGGCGTCCGGTACTCTTTGTCAGGTTCAACCCACACAAGAGCTCTGTAAATCCGATCGGAAGCACAGATGGTACTGCTACTTGGGTCGTCAACGCCGTCCGCGCGGTATATGGTGACACTCAAAACAACTTGATGGTCTAAGTCATGTTGAAGCAATAAGCTTTTTCCTGCAGGTATACTCTTCTTCCTCATCAGGGCTTTGCTCCGATGACCACCACTCTTCATGTTAGAATGGTCATGTGCCAATGCCATCCTCCCCATATATAGTTTCCTATACGGGATACAAGAGAGAGAGAGAGAGAGAGAGAGAGAGAGAAACCTTGTGCAGTTAGAAGAGAGTTGCGGTGTTGAATCCTTATCGTAAAAGGTGAGGATGCATGCTTAGACGTTGGCTAGCATTTATATAGAAAAGAATTTATGTGGCCAAGGAACTCGTAATGGTGGTGAGGGCCAAATACAAGACCAAATTGATTTGGAGCGAGGTATAAGTAAGCAGGGCATCGGGAAGAGAGAGAAAACCCAAGCAAAGCTTTCTTATCCTATATAGGAACTACTTGCCTATTTTCTCTTCCACAAATCTAACACTATTATAATAGAATTATTCGTATTAATTGCTATGTGTAAAACATCTATTCTTATCACTTTAAAAGTATTTTAATAATTTATCGCTATTCTTAGAATATTATTTATATAAATAGTGTTGAACATTCATGGTCGACCATGATATGTCAAAAAACAAAAACAAAAAGTTACAATGGAACAAGGTAAAAAACAAACAAAAAAAACCTAACTAAGAACACTTCTGGTTAATGCCTGACTTAATTTACCATCATTCAAAATAGGAGCCGAAAAATAAAGAAGACATCAAAACTATGCAAGATGTTCAACATCGCAATATTTATAAGTTAATGAAGTTACCAAAAAACAAAGATGGCCAATTAGATGATCGTATGCTGCAAGTTTTTACAAGGGATGAGTTGGAGTACACATGATTTCAGATGTTCCCAACGAAAGCACCTGGGTAGGTATTCTAGCCTTAATTTTCCAAAAGTATTGGCACATTGTCGGAGATATGGTGTCTAATAAGTGCTTGTAGATTTTAAATAGGAAAGGGAGCGTTCGAGAATTTAACCACACTCTTATAGCTCTCATCCCAAAAGTAAAGACACCAACAACTGTTTCAGAATTTTGTCCGATCAGTTTGTGTACAACAATTTACAAAATGATAGCGAAAACAATTGCCAATCGGTTGAAGAATGTTTTAGATAATGTGATGGCAACTTTTGAAACAATGCATACTATATCAAGAGGGTGAAGAAGGGGCATGATGTTAAAATGGCACTTAAAATCTCTAGAATATTTTATTTTCATTCGCTTTATTGTTTGTCATTTTATGTAAATGAATCTTTCATCCAATTTATTTATTTATAGAATTTAAAAGAGTTATTTCCGCAAAATTATATTGGTGATGAGTTTTTTTATTTTATAATTTGACTCTTAATAATGTTTAAAGTGTCCAAGGCTATAGGAGTCCATTTTATCAAAGTCTTTATTTAAGAGTTTTTTTTTATTGCGATTTCTCACTCACCCACCCTTGATATGGAATTTTT